AGTAGGTTAAAGGAACTGACAAGTACATTCAAAAGAAGGAGATCAGGACAGTGAGGAAATCCAAGACATGTCAAGGAAGAATTAGTGGGAGGAAGTAGACATGTGTAGCCCAGAGAGTACGATGATACTTACAGTGACGGGATGGTTGTCTTTAGTACTTGAAGGATGATCTTGTAAAACAGGGGTGAACTTTCTTCAATTTAGCCCAAGAGAGCAAAAGTGGGAGCAGTGAGTGGAAGTTACAGGAAAGCAGATTTCAACTACATAAAAGAAAAATCTTCTAACAAATGGAGTCCTTCATAAGTAGAATGGGCTGTTTGTGTGGGAGATGGGGGAAAGAATGAAGGTAGTGAGTTCTCCGTCACTAAGAGGTTTTTGGCTCAATGTACAAGGATGGCTAAGGTTGCTGTAGATAGTTCTTTTCCCTATCCCAATAGGCAGGGGAAAGAGCTCTGTGTTTAGAGGCAGAGGACCTGGTTTCAAACCCTGCCTCTGGCTCTCCTTTCTGCAGTTCAGCCTTTTAGAATCTCTGACTCCCATCAAGACTCGGTTCAGGTACTACGGACAGTGCTTTAAGGTTTGCAGAGCACCTTACAGATATTATCTCATTCGATCCACACAACAACCCTGGGAGGGAGAGACTCTTATTGTCCCCATTTTGCAGATGGGGAAATTGAGGTGAAGTGATGCCCAGCAGAAAGTATCTGTGCCAGGATTTGAATTCAGATCCTCCTCTTCCCCAAGTCTACTGTGCTACCTACAGATATCTTTCAAGAAGCTTTTTGTGACTCTCCCCAGGGAGCTAGAGTGCCCCTAATTTATTTTGTATATTCCCTGTGTGTATATAGGCATGGTGTCATGACCAGATAATTGGCTTCAAAGCCAGGAAGACTTGGGTTCAAGTCCTGCGTGGCTCATACTGCCTGTGATGCTGGAGAAGTCTCTTGACTTCTCAGGGCTCTAGACAACTCTCTAAGGCTGTAAAGTTGCAGAGAGAATAGGCTGGATTGGTAAAGAAGTTTCCTCACTGGGGAATTCTCTAGACCAAAGAAATCACAGGTCCAATAACTATCCCTATTCCATGCATTTACTTATCTGTGAACAACATATTAAGGTTGTGTGGTACAGAGGAAAGAGCATTGCCTCTGGTATCAGGACCGCTGGAATCAGATGACTGGCTTGGTGACATTGGGCAAGTCTCTTAATTTCCATATCCAATCAGATATCACCCCCTGCCTCCTCCACATCCTCCGCTGGTCTGACAATTGCCCTATCCACTAGACTTTCATCACCTCAGGGCTGGAGTATTGCAATAGCCTTCTGGGTGGTCTCCCTGCTTTAAGTCTCTCCCCACTCCAGTCCATTCACCACAGCTAGGAGGCAGATGGACGGTGCAGTGAATAGAGTGAGGAAGACCTGAGTTCAAATTTTGCCTCAGATGCTTCCTTTTTTTTTTTCTTTTGGCTAGGCAATGGGGTTAAGTGACTTGCCCAGGGTCACACGGCTAGTAAGTGTTATGTGTCTGAGGGCAGATTTGTACTCAGGTCCTCCTAAATGCAGGGCTGGTGCTCTATCCACGGCACCACCTCGCTGCCCCTCAGATGCTTCCTAACTGCGTGACCGTAGGCAAGTCATGTAACCTCAGTTACCTCATCTGTAAAATGGGGGTAATAATATCATCTATCTCTCAGAGTGGTTCTGAGAATCAAATAAGATGATATTTGTAAAAGTGCTTAACACAGTGGCTGGCACACAGTTGGTGCTTAATAAATGTTTATTCCCTTTCCTTCTACTCGGCAATCAAACCGATCCTCCTAAAATACAAAGTACAAGTCTGACTATGCCACACGCCTTATTCAGTAAACTCCAGTGGCTTCCTATTACCTCCGAAGTCAAATATAAAATCCTGTTAGGTTTTTAAGGCCCTTCATAACCTGGCCCCTTTCTACCTTTCCAGTCCACCTTACTGTCCCTTCACCTGTGAAGTAATCCGGTGAAACTGGCCTCCTTGCTGTTCCTCAAACATAGCTCTCTACCTCCCTGGGTGTTCCACATGCTTGGAACCCTCTCCCTCCTCAATCCCCACCCCTCTTCCTTGAGGTCTCACTCTAAAGTCTCCCCTCCTTATACTTAGTGCTTTCTTTATTAATCCTTGTTTGTACACATAGTTGTTTACCAGATTGCTCCTTGCAAGTCTTTTTCCTCTTCGTATTCCCAGCACTTTGCACACGTTGCTTGACACATAGTTTCAGTAATTTCAGTCGTTTCTGAAGGACTCATGACTGCATTTGGGGTTTTCTTGGCAAAACTACTGGAGTGGTTTGCCATTTCCTTCTCTAGCTCATTTTACAGATGAGGAAACTGAGGCAAACAGGGTTAAATGCCCAGAGTTACACAGTTAGGAGGTATAAGCAGGCTCTTAAGAAATGCTAGTCGACTAACTGACCTACCTGTAAAATGAGGAGGTTGGAACGATAAACCTCTTGAGGTTCCTTGAAACCCTAGATCAGGATTCTTGACCTGGGCGGAGGGGGTATCTGTGAACTTGTTTTAAAAAAAATATTTTGATAACTTTCTTTTTTTTTTAAAGGAAATTTAAAGAAAAGTTATACTTCAGTCTTCACTCAGGCTTCATCGGTTCTCTCTGGGGATATATAGTATGAGTCCTTCAGAATTGTCTTGGATCTTGCTAGCCTTCTCGAGGAGGGGGGAGGGGAAGATACAGGGGAGTGGAGGGAAAGAGGAAGAGGAGGGAAGAAGGGAGGGAGAGAATTTGGAAGTAAAATTTTTAAAAAATGAATGTTAAAAATTGCTTTTACATGTAATTGGGGAAAAATAAAAGATTAAATTTTTAAAAATATGTATGGAATTGTCTTGGATCATTGTCTTGATCTGAGTAGCTATGACTTTCACAAATATTGTTTACAATATTACAATATTGCTGTTACTATGTCTGATGTTCTGGTTCTGCTCACTTCACTCTGCATCAGTTCATATAAATCTTCCCATGTCTTTCTGAAACCATCCTGCTCATTATTTCTTAAGCACGATGGTATTCCATCACAATCATATGCCACAACTTGTTCAGCCATTCCCCAATTAATGAATATTCTCTCAGTTTCTAATTCTTTGCCACCACAAAAAGAGCTGCTATGAATATTTTTGGACAAACAGGTCCTTTCCCCTCTGCTCTCTTTGGCATATAGACCTAGTAGGAGCATTGCTGGCTCAAATGTTAATGGACACCTTATAGCCTTTGGGCATAATTCCAAATTGTTCTTCAAAATGGTTGGATCAATTCATAATTCCACCAACTGCATTAGTGTCCCAATTTTTCCACATTCCTCCATTAATATTTTTCAATATTATTGGTCTCCTTTATAATCCTATTTATTGTATAAAAACATTGTAAGAAAGGGTCCATAGGCTTCACTATGATGTCAAAAAAGGTTAAAAGCTACTGCCTTAAATCTATGACTGCATGACCATGATCTCCCAATTTAACTTAACCAAAATTTATATTAAAATTTTTGTATTTTTAAAAGCATAAAAATAATTTAAAAAATTTTTAAAAATGCATTTGTGGTAGGATGGGCCTACTGTGTCAAGGAACTACAGTATCAGAAGCCTGAGATCTTATCACTCCCCCCCCCCCCGTGTTTTTTTCCCCACAGCGGAGGCTTAGGAGGACCATCCAGAGGGGAGGGCGGGGGCGGTCCCTCTCTCAGGTGCCCGGCCCCACCCATTTCTCTTTCCTCCTTTTCCCCAACCCCGCCTCCTTCAGCCCCGCCTGCGTCCCCTCAAATCTGGGGCCAGCGAGCGGAAGAGTCACGCGACCCCAAGAGGCTGGGCGAGCGGCCGCCATCTTGGCGGGGTAGCGGCGCTCGCGTCAGCTCTCGCCTTTCAGTCCCGCCTCCCGCCTTTTCTCCCTCCTCCCGCTCCGCTGCTCCCGCCCCCCCCTTAATCCCCGCGGAGACGCGGGTGGGAGGGAAGGAGAGGAGGAAGGAGGCGTGTCGCGGGCTCGCCCCAAAGACCCGGCGGCGCGCGCGGCCGGCCCCCCGCGGGGGCCCCTGAGGCGGCGGCGGCGGGGGCGGGGGCGCGCGCGCGCGGCGGCGCTGGTTTCCAGGGCACCGCGGAGTCGGAGCGGTCTCGGCCTCCCTCTCGGGGCCGGGCCCGTGCCGCCCTCGCCGGCGCCATGTACCGCAGCGGCGGCCGCTCGGCGGTGTCCTCGCATCGGCCCAAGGAGGGCGGCGGCGGCGGCTCCCGCACCAGCCGTAGCGCCGGCTCCTCCTCCTCTTCCACCGGGCCGGTCCGCCGCGCCTCCCCGCCGCCGGCCTCCTCCTCCTCGTCCTCGGCCTCCTCCCGGGCCCCGGGCCGCCGGCCCCGCTCCCCCTCGGGCCACCGTGGCCGCCACGGCTCGCCGTCCCCGCCGCCGCACTCTATCCGCGGCCGCCGGCGCGGCTCTCCGTCTCCTCCCTGGAGCCGCCGCGGGTCCCCGAGCCCGCCGCGGGGCCGCCGGGGCTCCCCGCCCTGCTCTCGCCGGGCCTCGCCTTCTCCGACCCGGCCCCGACGCCTCTTCCCGTCGGGCTCCGGCGGCTTCCGCGGCAGTAGCCGCTCGTGCTCCCGCTCCGACTTCGCTCGGGACGGCCGCGGAGACCATCCGGGGGACAGCGGCAGCCGGGTAATCCACCCCCGTGCCCCGCCGCCCCCGGGCTGGGGCCCAGAGCAGGCAGGTCCCCCGCGCCCTCGGCGCCTCCCGGGCCGAGGCAGTGTAGACACTCTTCCGGGCCTAGCCGGCCCCGTAGAAAGCGTGCCCGAATAACGGGGTCTTCCCTGAGGGATAACGGGAGTCGGGACTCATAATGGAGGAGCCCTTGTGGTGATGGACAGTGTGTTTTCCCAGGCTCTGGGTGAGATATGTGGGAAAATTTGGCCCCCCACCTACCCGTTTTTCTTTTTTCAGTAAGCCACCTTACATGTCACTCGTCTATAGGGCCTGGGTAATGGCAGTGCAGTGGTTTATTTTCCTGAGCAATCCTGCCTTGGAGGCACTGCAGTCATTTGGGGCTTCAGCCACCCCCCGGGGCTTGGGATAGACAGCTCTTGTCTTGCCAGGCTTCCCAGCAGAAAAGGAAAAAGTGGTATTCCTCCAGTCTTTTCTCTTTCTCTGAAATGAAATTGGCACTATTCAGAGTGGGGAAAAAGAGAGCAGAAAGGGTGTGAGGGGAAAGATTATCCTGGACAAAACGTCGTCTGTTTCTCTTCCCTCTCTTCCTTCCTTTCTCCTTTTTCCCCCTCCCCTTTTGAGTTCTGCTTGCTGAGCAACAGACCTTTATTCTGAGAGGTCTGTCTTGAATCCCAGTGACAGAATTTCCATTTCCTTGAGTGGTTCTGTGTGATGATGTACATGTGAAAGGTCATGAGCAGGGTTCCCTGGGTTTTTGGTCATGGATGAATGGACTATTTCTGTCATAAAAAGAGTAAGAGTATGGTGTCAAGGTCAGAGGAGAGGAAAAGGGAAGACACTTTGGAAAGGTGGAGGCAGATGCATCCTACCTTCAAGGAAATGTTCTTGAAAGTACTTGGAGTTAAGGAAACATCTTTTAGTGATTTTTTTCTTACTCTGGAAATAGTGCTTCCTGGAAAATGGGAGATTTTTTCTTGGTACTTTCAGCTTTATTCTTTTATTTTTAACCTCTGTGATCCCATACTCTTTCTGTCAAAATTCAGGGAACCTACCCTTATGTTTTGTCCCTGCAGAGGCGATCTCCTGGACTCCGTTCTGAATCTTCAGTGGAACAAAGCTTGCGGATCACTGTTGGCAACGACCGGTTTTGCCTTGGCTCACCTGACCCCCGGAGGCTTAATGATCGATTGGGGTCTCCAGTGGATAACTTGGGTGACATAGACAGGTAGGATTCTCCTAAAGCTAAGGGTAACGGTAGTGGCTTGTAATTGTAGACAGGAGGCTCTTAATTGCTGAAGTTCTTGTGTTTGAAGTATTGGGTATTGGCACTGAAATTTTGGACCCAACTCCAGCACAGAGTGTAACAGGGGAAAAGTCCTCAGGGGTTGGAAGGCCTCTGGGAAGCAAGGTTACTGATAAATACTATGCTGCCTGATAAGTCTATTTGGGTAAAAATTTGGAAGGGGGAAGGTTGATCGAATATGGTCAAAGTCTATAATTTTAGGAAAGGATTGGATAATGTGACTATGTCATTATTCAACAAGTCCTGGAATATTGAACTAAAGTGCCCTTCTTAGAAAGTTTTTGGACTAGACATATAAGCTGAGAATATAGATTCATAAGAGGTTAAATTAATGGGTAAAAAATCACAGCACATTTAAAGGGAAATTATGATGATGCTAAAATGGGAATGCATGGTAGCTGTCCTCCAGTCCATTGGTTATTGGTACCACCTTTAGATGCAGACATAATTTAGACATGATTGGTCTGACCCATTAAGGCATTAAATTCTAATATTGCTGCAACTAAAGGTTTTATTAAAAACTCAGCGTTGAGCAACAATTCAAATAATTAAACTAGCTTAATAACTTTTCATTTAAATTAATTTTATTGAAGAAATTTCACCATTGTTTCTGTTGCTCTGTTAGAATTCTTAGTTCCTTAATTCTCATTAACTTTTCCTAATGTGATCATTGTGTGAGGTCCATTCTTGTGGTTCTGCTTGTTTCACTTTTCATTATTTAGGCCTTTATAGGCCTTCACAGATTTCCTTTTATTTCAAGATGCTTATTGACCTTAATTGCATTGTATTATTCCACTTTATCAACATGCCATCTTTTAGCCATTCCTTTACTTTGGAACATTTAGGTTGTTTTTTTTTATTACATATAATTCTACTATGAAAATCTTTTAACAGATAGTTCTCTTGCTTTTGATAACACTTTCAGGGTATATCCCCAACAGTGGAATTACTGGGATAAAAATCATGATGATTTTTGTAACGTATTATGTACTTTCAATTTCTCTTCAAAAAGATTCTACAAGTTTGCAATTTCATCGACACTAAGTGTGCCTTTTTCTCTACAACCCTGTCAACCTTGAATTTTATTGCTTTTAATTCTTGCCTATATGAATGGTTATGAAGTAGTACCCCAAAGTTGTTTCAATTTTAATTTCTTTGACTTTTAGTAGGATTGAGCAATATTAAAAACTGATTATTAACAATGTGTTTCTTTTGAAATCCTTTGGCCATGTATCTTTTATGGATAGAGTTAACATTGTGCGTGGTTATATCAAAGTAAATTTTTATAACAGATAATTAAAAGAAAATAAAAGATTACATATTGAGGAACTATTTACATCAAACATGACAGATAAAAACTTGACATTTTAAGTGTGTAAGGAACTGTTCTGAAACTATTAGGTGTCAAAGAAAAGGAAATATATTTTGGAGAGAACTAAATTTAGACTTGGCATTGGTTCCCAATTATACAAGGAAAGTAACCATTTTGGCACTTGATTTTCCCAACTTCCCTTGAATTATGTAAGCTTGAGGATTGTGACAGTGTCTGTTTTGGTCCATTCCCAGCAGATTGTGAAAAGTGTACAAATTGTTTGGCAGTAAGTGTAAATTTGCTCTCAGATGAGAATGTATTTGTACACAATGCATAGAGCACGTGAATGGGGGAGGAGGGCATTGGACACAAATGTGAAGCAAGAATGAGAGCAACATAATTGCCCCTAAATAGCATTCACCTCAAAGCATCACTTGAAGTGGGCAAACTACAATGAGAGAAGGTAAAAAAATGTATATGGCTCTGTAGCTTTGAAGCCTTTGGTCTGGAGTCATGGCTTCAGTGTATATGAATGAGCCATACGTAGAAAACATTTATATCCACTTTTCCCAGCTACTTCTGTTTCAGAAAGTGAGAGGTCAGCTTAGGTAAGCTGATGAGGTGATTCTTTAATATACTGTGTGCTGGAGGTGATTTGCATATTTTTTATTGTTCACCAGAATATCACCCTTCCATTATAATGTACTAATAGAAGGACCTGTTTTTTAAAATAAGTAAATTTGGTTCTGCTTTTTAGAGAAAGGTGAAAAGTACAAGAAGTTCCACAAGGCTCTTCTCTATCCTTTTCTACCCCCTATCGCACTCATGTTTTTACATAGTTGTGACTCTTTTTCCTGCTCAGCTTGTGTTAGTCTTTGTTCCTTGAGACTGTCCACCAGGGCTTGTGTTATCTTTGGAACATCCTTTGGCAGTGAGCCAATTTTCATCTGGTGGTGGTGGTAAGAGGAGCTATTCTCCCCAACTCTTGTGTGTAAATGAATTATTTACAAATAACTTGGGGTTCTCTTCTTTTACTCAGTGTCTTTATTAAATCACATCAATCAGCTAGTATTAAATCCCTGTAATTTGCCAGGGATACAAAGGAAAAAGAACTATTCTTAAAGTGCTTACATTCTATGCAAGGAAGCAACACATACATATGAAAGTATATACAAAATAAATACCAAAGTAGTTGGAGAGAGTACTGGCAGTGGGAGGAAGATCAGGAAAGGCTTTATATAGAAAGTGAAGCTTGCACATCATCTTGAAGGAAGGGAGGGATTTTTAAGAGTTGTATGTGAGAAGGAAACATAGAGGATGTCCAGTGCAAAAGTGTGGATATTGAAGAAAGAGTGCTTTGTGTGTGAAATGGAGAGAAGTTGAGTTTGGCTGGATAGTAATGCACAGAGGTTTGGAGAGGAGAGTAACATGTAGTGAGCCTAGAAAATAAATTCAGGCTAGGTTGTGAAAGGTTGTGCATTTCGTGTCAGGATAGTTTACCTGGATGGTCATTTCTGCTCTGCTGAGTACATTTCTTTTTAGGATACCAACCTCCTCTTGGCATGTGTCCTAATTGGTTGTGTGGAAAAAATTTGTAACAACTAGCCTTATAAGCCAAAATGTGTTAGGTGAATGAATACATTGGCTTATGGGGGAACCAGTCTGGTTATACAGGAATTCTCTGCTGTCATGATACCTCCAATGCAACAACTTCCATTCATAGAACTTATTTCAGTACCTCTCATACTTAATTTTCATTCTTCTCCTTTCAAAGTAGGTTAGAGCCAGTACTTTTTCCCTTGCTTTTGCCAGGCTTGGAGAAAGGAATTTCCTAGAGTGCCATATGCAAACAGCAGTAAAGATTGTGGAGTCCCAACTAGACTATTTTTCTAACAGCCAGACCCAGCCAAACCTTGCAAAGGGTACCCTTTCCAGAACTGGACCTGACAGCAAGAGCTAAAAAATTTTTTAGAGCTTTCTGAGACTTTATGATCACTACCTTCCTTTGGGGTTACTTGGCTCATTGAGCCTTATTTGGGAAAGGAGACTTTTAAGTTTCTCTCTTTTTTTTTAAAAGGCAGTTGGGGTTAAGTGACTTGTGGAGGGTCACACAGCTAGTAAGTGTCAAGTGTTTGGTCTGAGACTGCATTTGAACTCAGGTACACCTGGTTTCAGGGCCCGTGCTCTATTCACTGTGCCACCTAGCTGCCCCTTATAAGTTTCTCAATGATCTAATTTTGGTATGTGTGTTCATTTAATGTCTTACTCCTTCCAGTATCTTTTCACTTCTTGTTGAGATGAAATCTGAGATCTTATGACTGGATTCCGGCTTTCTGGGAATTACCTTTCTTCATCTAGATTGACAGTACTTTATGCTGATACCTCTTCCAAGAAATAGCTTCCTTTACCACTGAAGATATTCGGGGGAAGGCTGGCTGTCCCTTTCTTAGGAATGTTGTAGAAAGAATTACTATTTAGGTATTTGAAATTCCTTCCAACTCTGAGATTCTGTAATATGGTTAGGCACTAAAAGTCTACATTATTTGGTAGTTGCATTGCACCATCATGTATTCTGGGTCTGACTAGGATCTAGCTTTGGCAGCACAAATGAATTTGCCAAATCCATATCTTACACTGGGACTTGTAACACCTACTTTACCTTCCACCTTCCCCAACACAGGGAAGAGGTGGTAATAGGAACATTTCTTCCTCGGTAGTGGTTTTATTTTCAACCTTTTCTGGAAAGATAAACTTTATCCTGGACAGCTTTTCATAGGGTTGTTAAATGTTATTCAAGTCTAGACCTGTAGAGGAAATCATGCCTAGTAAATACAAAATCAGTAGTAGAAACTGCAGAAGGCACCAATAATGATCATCCTAAGTTTAGGATACTGTCCCTTTGGATCTGAGTGAGAGGTAAGCACTTTATTTTTTGTGTTTTTTTTTTTAATGCAGATTTCTGAAAAGTTTCATGCTTTTGAAGTGCTAGAAGGTCTTTATAATTTGCTCCTTACCTCAAAAGACTCTTCCCTTCTTTAAATGTAAGCTGTCATTGGAAATCTGTCCTGACCTGGGTAGTGCTATTGAAAGCTTATGGTAGTGTGACATTTGATGTTTGAGGTATTTGACAACCTCTTCAGGAAGTGTGTGTTAGTACTGAGGAAAGAACACTTTGTGTGATGAGTACTTTCTGGGATTCCCAGAGTTAGGCTAGAAAGGTTACCTTTGCTTTGTAACCAGAAGCAGGGATATAGACAGGACAAAGGTTTAATCCAGTTTCTGTTTCCTCCATACTTGAAACTCCCCTTACCTTTTTACTTCTTTGAGGTAAAAATGTGATGAGCCAGAATATCACTTAATCTGTCCTTACCTGAAGAATAGCCTACTGCTTTATGGGCATTCAAATAGGGCAGAAGAAAGCTGACAGGAGAGGCCAGAGGATCTTTGAAACTTGGAAGCCAGCAGTATGATACATAAATGAGACATCTAAATACTCCCGGGAAAGTCATGTTCATTCCAGTGGAAATCA